ACACTAAGACTATGGCCTCAGCACAGTCAAAATGAACATACTGTTATGTCTTAATTTCCTTTTATTCATGTTGCCACTCCTCCCTCCTCTGACTTACTTTAAGGATATACACTCTGTGGTGTCTAAATTTATTTTGAATGGGAAAAGGCCTAGGATACGTTTGTCAACATTGCAGCAGGCCAAATTACTTGGTGGTTTGGCAGTACTTTGAGTTTTACTACTGGTCATTCAAAATCAGGGTGCTTAGGGGGTTGTTCATGAGGCTTCTACTGCATGGAAAATGATTGAATCCGCTAAGGCAGTACCACAATATATACACCAAAAAGCTCAGCAACGACAACAAATTTGGGCCTATTATTGCAAACTCTATAAAGGCTGTAGTTTCTTTGTGGCAGAATAGACTGACAAAACCAAAGTGTTCCATTATTTAGAGCCCACACTTTTTTACTACCTTTTCCAAGTGTTTTGCTCTCTATAATAAATTCCTATAAGCAATAGAATTTTCTTAAAATACATTTACTTATGAGAATCGCATGGTTTGTTGTGTTTAGTGCACCTAACGCTGAATTTTTTTTTTCAAAGTGCAAAGTGTGGTTCGGAAGATAAAAAAAGAATGTGCACCCATGTAGGTAAGGTCTAACAGCTAACACTCTCTTAAAGTGGTCAACATAGTAGCAAGTCCATGTGGACGGTTTAATGAGATCCATAGAGACTGAAGTTTCATTATATATTTGATGTAACTTGAGTTGTTCACTTTTAAAAAATGAACACACACCAAGTTTAGGTAGCTATCAATAAGACAATCTACATAAAACAAATATTTTATATACACTGTTTGTTACTCGTTCTACCTGTTTTACATGTTAGTTCAGTTTCTGATCTTCACAAATGCTGAAATGAATCTAACATATATAACCTTCGGTGGTCACGTGGAAGTGGAGAAATACCGTTATCTTTATTTTGTGATCATGTTTATGGTGTATATTCTAATAATTTGCAGCAATTCCACTATTGTGTGGCTTATCGTAGTTCAAAAAAGCCTTCATGAGCCTATGTATATTTTCATTGCTGCTTTGTTAGTGAATTCTGTTGTTTTGAGCACTGTCATCTACCCAAAGCTTTTGATTGACTTCTTATCTGAAAAACAGATTATTTTGTATCAAGCCTGTCTCTTTCAAGTATTCCTGTTTTATGCCTTAAGTTGCTCAGAATTCTTACTGCTGTCAGCTATGGCTTATGACAGATATGTGTCTATATATAAACCTTTGCAATATCCTTCTATAATGAGAAGAACAAGAGTCAATATTTTCCTGCTTTTGTGCTGGTTTTTACCTGCTATTCAGGTTGCAGTGCCAATAGCAGGAAATGCAAATACACCACTCTGTAACTTTACTCTGAAAGGTATTTTTTGTAACAATTCGGTCAACCATCTTCATTGTGTCAATTCAAGAGAATTATCTATATATGGTATGGTTGTTCTATTTAATGTTGCACTTTCTCCTATGTTTTTTATACTTTTTACATACATAAAGATAATTATAGTTGCCTATCAGAGTTGTGGAAATGTCAGAAAAAAAGCTGCACAAACCTGTTTGCCTCATGTGCTAGTTCTAATGAACTATTCTTGTTTGCTTACGTATGATATGGTTATAGTTAGACTGGAATCAGAGTTTCCTAAAACTGCACGTTTTATAATGACATTACAGTTTGTAACATATAACCCTCTTTGTAATCCAATAATATATGGACTAAAGATGAAAGAAATTTCTAAACACCTCAAAATACTGTTCAGTTAATTGCAAGCAAACCAATTTATTAATTTATAGTCTTTTTTATTACTCATTTATTATTAATTTTATGAAAACTGGCTTAATGTTTTCCTCCTACAACTGAGAATTGATCAATATTTAAAAACCAAAATGAAACGTAAACAAATATTAAAATGAATGTTTGATATCACTCTCCTCATTAATAATACATTTGTTAATAGTTTCATCTAATGTGATTGCCCCTATTGATTTTCACAATGAAATTAAACGTGAATATCCTTCTTAATGGATACTAACACAACATCAAGAGAAATGAAAAAGGGATGAAGTAGAGTAACATAAGGTCGAGTACTTAAAAAATGAGACAGTTATCATGCCAGTCACTTTTTATCTTGTGGCTCTGTGTAAATGAAATTCCATTACAATCTTGTGTTACATACAGTTCAGACACCTCAAAATACGTTTTATTTTACAGTTGAAAACTATATATCTGGATTTTCTTTCCAGTTTGTTTTCTTTTGGAGTGCAAGAAAATGTAGTTTAGCTAGTAGTTCACTTTCATTTTCTGGAAAGGATCCTTTATTTGGTCAGTTTTACTATTTTTGTTCTGGAAGGCATGGGTGTAACCTGAAGTCTCTGTTGAGATGATTTCAATCTATAGAGGCCTTCAGGACCAGCCAGGCTTCCACGCAGAGTATTAACCAATTGAAGAAATAGTACAGGCCCTTCACTGACACAGAATGCAGTATCAAAACACAAAACAAAAACAAACAAACAAACAAAAACCTCAGGCATGAACAACCATACCTGTTGATTATAATAGACTGATATACAATACAGCTGGACTTGAACCCTCAAGTGACGTTTTTGGTATTTTGGCCTTAATAACTAATAGGACAGTTTTTGCAAGGCGTAGGGAATCTCTTGTCTCATCCAGTTTTTTAAATGTTGTTCATCTACAACCTACAGTTTCTTTGCTACCTCCATTCACCTTGCTAAGTTTAGTCTTTTTAATGTTAGAGCCCTTGATAGTTTTATATTTTTAACAGAAATGTGAATAAACTCTGGAGAGGACTGCCTAGTTGGTGAACTATGCCCTCCCTATATGATTGTTTTAATTGTCCCAGAGAAAGTGGCCAGGGTGAAGTTTTGGCTGTGGCATTTATCAAATGTTCACTTTTTAAGATTGATGAAGTATGTATCTCTGAGGTTCTGGTTTTTGAACTAAAATGTGAAAAAGCTACTGTGTGTACAGTTGTGTAACAATCTATGTCAAAATCTGTTATCCATGGGATAATAAAGGTTTATTCTATTCTATTCTATTCTATTCTACTATATTAGATATTTTTTATCAGGAAGGCCCAGATGGGTTGCCCACTGCCAAAGGGTGAGTCCCAGAGGACCAGAGACAACAGGCAATCAACACTGCTGGAGACTGGCTTTCCTAGCAGTTTCTTCATGGTTATTTGTTTGTGGGATTCCCAGGTACATCCAACTACATTTTTCCAGTACAAATTACATTCCGATGTTGTTACAGTCAATGACTCAGGGGTTTCAGGCATATGTAGAACACGAGTGGGGACAGCGCATCTCCTTGATAAATCCCGCACTTGATGGCGACTTGTGCTATAGGCTTGAAGTTCGCCACATCCCCATCAATTTTCTGATTCAGGCTCTTAGTGTCCTTTTTATCTTGTACAAATCTATGCGTTCCAAGATCTGTGTGTGGGGCATCGAGTCATAGGCTTTCTTGCCAATCCAGGTGATGCATAAGTTGCTGAGCCTGGTCTTGCAGTATTGGGTACCTTGTACCAGTAGCTGGTGTGTTGTTTCTCTGGAATTCCTGCTTATTCCCTTCTGTGTATTGAGCCATATGTCTGTTCATCTTAGCAGGATCATGTGGTTTGGCGACCTCTCCCTCATGGTGGTGACCTGTTCATTTGTGCTGCCAGACGATAATGGACTCTAGTTAGCTTCTTTAGCGTTTTAAGCACTATTTTCCTAAATCCAGCAACACACACTGTGTCAGTTTGTGAGAGCTGGGCTCCATCATGTAAATTAGCCTCTATAAATGAAGTGTTTCATGTCCACTTTAAAGGCCTGTGGTATGCCCATATTTAAGACTGAGGTATACTTTAAGGTAGGACCTCTCTGAGCAGTACTGTTGGAATGGGGTCTATTAGCTGTAGTGATAGATGTACTGTGGTGTTACCAAGTGATAGCAACACTAGGAAGAAGGAACATGAGAAGCTTTAGAAGTACCAAGGGCTGAGAGAGGAACGTGAGAAGATGTGGAGGGTGAAAGAAACAGTGTTTCACATAGTAATTTTAGGACTTGGGGTAGTGAAGGACATCCCAGATCTCTGTCCAGAAAAGTGCAGTCCAAATAACAGCAAGGATGCTGCACAGGACCCTTAAGCTCCTCAAGCTTTTATTAGTAAATATATTCGACACCAGAAAACTTTTCTGGTCTTTTAAGGACACAAAGGTTCAACCATCTCTCCAAGAGCTTAAAATATCTTAACATTAACATAATTTCTTTGCCATAAGGAACTCTTGGGTTGCTTTTACACTTTGCTGTAGGTGATGTGTGAAGTTTTAAGGTAACACTAATTACTTCTAGAACAAATTGATTTAATACCAAAATAAAGCCAATTTCAGGAAAAAACAATGGTGAAAACACACTGTATTACAAGCTTGTTGTTAGCTAGCAATTCTACACCCATGTGCTACTCTTATTATGTTTGACTAATTTGTCACTCTACAGTCTGATAACATGGCAAAAGAATACTTACATATACAAGGGGAAGGTTTCATTTAACAGCAGGACCCAAATCTGCATTATTATCAACAGCTATGTTTCTTTTCCTATCAGTGCCCACTTGAAGAGCTGCTTTCTTAATTAATTTTCTTTTTGTCTTTACTTTTTTCTATTGCAGATGATTTTGAAAAGTCTGTCAACATGTAGCTATAAATGTGACTGTTAGTGTAGAAGTCCTCACCAATTTGTAACAGAAGAGTTCATCACATGAACAAAATGTTGATTCTCACACAAAGTGAGAGATTGTTAAATAAATAGATAAAAGAAAAATTGTTAAGTACAAAGAGAGATAAATCAATATTTATATAGGAGATATATCAATATATAGAATATCTGATGAAATAAACAATAAATCTGTTTCAGGGATCAAAATCAAACATCTCACTATACTTTTTTGTACATCAATTTTCTTAGCAGAACAATCTCTTTAGGTGTTTAGAAATGTATTTCATTTTTAGTCCATATATGATTGGATTAAACAGTGGATGATATAAAACCACTTGCAAAGTCATTATTAAACGTACAGTCTGTGAAATATCAGATTCCAGTCGAAGTATAATAACTTCACATGTACAGAAGAATGAATAGTTGAATAAAACCAGCAGGTGAGGTAAGCAGGTCTGTGTAGCTTTTTTCCTGACTTCTCTACAGCTTTGATAAGATATTATAAGTATCTTTGTGTAAGTGAAAACTATGTAGAGCATGGGAAAAAATACAATATTGAGCAAAACATTCACACCATAAATAGCCAAAACTCTTGAACTCACACAATGAAGTTTGTAAACTGACTTATTACAAAATATCCCTTGCAGAGTAAAGTTACACACTTTTCTAGTAGCACTTAGTGATGTTGTTGTCACGGTTCTGGGTCCGTTGGACCCAGTATTTCGAGTTTATTATGTTTTGGTTCACTTTTGCATCATGGATTATTCTTTGTTTCTCTGGTACTTTGTGTTTCAGTTATCTTGGTGTTTTGGATTGTTTCTCATTCTCTTGTTGTGATGTTTATTATTATTATCATCTCTGCCTGCCCGCACACAGAGCCCTGACAGTTGTTCCTGCAACCTGACAAGCAGGCACAAGCCACGCTAAGACCAAGAAAACAGAGATGGTAGTTTTTTTCATGATTACGGAATATTGCAAAGGTTTGCATATAGACACATATCTGTCATAGGCCATGGCTGCCAACACTAAAAATTCTGAAGCTCCTGAAGTGTAAAGTACAAAATACTGAAAGTGACACATTGTGTGTGATATAATCTGTTTTTCAGATAAAACATCAAGCAAAAACTTTGGGTAGATGGTTGTGCAAAAAAAAGTAGAGTTAATCAGCAAAACTGCAATAAAAATATACATGGGCTCATGAAGGCTTTGATGAAACACAATAAGACGAATAATGGTGGAATTAGAGAAAATTACTGCAGCATATATTGTAAAAATAATCAGAAAATAGACATATCTGTACTTTTCCACCTCTACATACCCATTAAGTGTTATGTAAGTTAAATTTAGTTTATTGTCCATTGAGTTACCTGGCTGGGAATTGTATTTACAAGATCCTATCCACAGTTCTAATGCGTCCTGCTCTGACCATGCAGTATGTTTTTAATCACTCTACTTCACCCTCCACGGATTTCAGCAAATCCTCCACCACAACATGCATTCATGTGACCTTTTTTAAACTGTGAAGAGTTGTTTTGACTTTAAGGCAGCTTTGCAGTCCAGAAGTTCAGTGTCTAATAAACAGTGGCAAAGATACCCCAAGTCAGCATGCAAGTAGTGTGGCTAAATTGTAATTCTGTTTCTGCACATTAAGTAATAGAATCAAAATTTACTTCAAAGCTCGAAATTATTATACCATCTACTTAAGGTGCTTTGACAATTGATCTCTTAGGGTAGTAATCAGAATCAGAAGATTTTATTCATCCCTAAGGGGCAATTAACAGACAACCGAGCAGCATAACGTTGAAGATAAGGACAGTAAGAACAGGGTATAACAGTGAGATAATAAATGCACAGAATATACAGTATATACAGTTTTAAAATTAAAGTGACTGAAAAAACTTTTCAGCTGACTGGCCGGTGGACCGCACGAGTAGCGACCCGGAACCAGTATCCAGAAAAAGAAAAGAAAGTAAAGAAAAAAGAACAACCAAAACTTGATTAACCTATTCAGTCTTTCATGAGAAAAAACTAGGAGGCTTAGGTCCACTAAAGTGAAACTCAGTCTACTCAGATAAAAGTTATTAAAGTTCTGTAGTATCACATCAACGTTCAGTGAGACTGAAATGACCAAAAACCACTGAACGACACAGGAAATCATTCCTGCCTGTGGCCATCTCCCTGTAGAACTCCTCCGTCTAATACACTGTAAACACTGCAAAAGTTACATCCTTTTGCACACACTCTTTTCTTACTCTGTAATGTTGCCGTCTATTTTCTTGATATTTATTTGCAATCACATCTGGATATTTATTATTTGGTGATTTGTATATATTGTGCTATTCCTTAGATCTTAAGATATTCTATTGTTAATAGTCTAGTCTGTTTTTGTTTTTGTTATTGTTTTTTCTAATGTCACTGTACTGGAGCAACCCGTAACCCACATAATTTCACAAGGGATTAATAAAGTATGCTGATTCTGATACTGATTTAAAGGGAGCGTCTTTGTTAAAGTCTTCTCATGGATTTTCCAACACAGAGCTCCTGGGTGGTAATACTCTATCAGTCCCAGAACTGGATTCAGTTGGGCAGCGTGGGGTGAGAACTGAATAACTGAAGAATGCAATGGTTTTTAGATTTCATTGGACTGTCTTGAACAAAGTGGATGATAACAAAGAGAGGGAAGGTAGTCAGAACTGAGGGGATGGAACTACCAGAAGGCAACATTGCAAACATTGAAGACAGCTACAAGTACCTGGAGATCTCACAGGCAAATGGGAACCATGAAGAGGCTGCTAGGAGAGCTGCAACCACCAAGTACCTGCAGAGGGTCAGGCAAGTCCTGAGGAGTCAGCTGAATGGTAAGAACAAGATCTGGGCTATCAACACCTACGCCCTGCCCTTGATCAGGTACCCTGCTGGCATAATAAGTTGGCCAAAGGTGGAGATAGAAGCCAGTGACATCATGACCAGGAGACTCTGACCATGCATGGAGGGTTTCACCCCAAATCCAGCACCCTGAGGCTGTATGCTAAGCAAAAGCAAGGACTGGTGTGTCAGCACCACAGTCCAGGATGAGGCAGCAAACATCCATGAATACATCAGGAAGATGGCCCTAACCAACCACATGCTCAGGGAATACCTCAGGCAGCAGAAACCCGAGAAAGAGGACGCACCATCATAGAGGGACAATAGGATAGAGGAAGTGGCTGACATCCAGAAATCCTACCAGTTGCTGGACAAAGCTGGACTAAAAGACAGCACAGAGGCACTAATCATGGCAGCACAGGAACAAGCTCTGAGCACAAGACTGATAGAGGCTGGGGTCTATCACACCAGGCAAGACCCCATGTGCAGGCTGTGTAAAGATGCTCCAGAGACAATCCATCACATAACAGCAGGATGCAAGATGCTAGCACGCAGGGTATACATGGAACACCATAACCAAGTGGTTGGCATGGTATACAGAAACATCTGTGCCAAATATGGCATTAAAGTCCTGAGGTCAAAATGGGAGACGCCCACAAGGGTGGTGGAGAATGACCGAGCTAAGTTCCTGTGGGACTTAGATGCAGATGCAGACGGACAAAATGGTGGTGGCTAACCAACCGGACATAGTGGTGGTAGACAAACAGAAGGAGACGGCCATAGTGATAATTCCTAATTTCCTTCGGGATTAATAAAGTATTCTGATTCTGATTCTGATAGAGGTAGCGGTTCCCAATGACAGCAACATCAGAAAGAAGGAACACGAGAAGCTCGAGAAATACCAAGGGCTCAGAGAAGAGCTTGAGAAAATGTGGAGGGTGAAGGTAACAGTGGTCCCAGTGGTAATCGGAGCACTAGGTGCGGTGACTCCCAAACTAGGCGAGTGGGTCCACCAGATCCCAGGAACAACATTGGAGATCTCTGTCCAGAAGAGCGCAGTCCTAGGAACAGCTAAGATACTGTGCAGGACCCTCAAACTCCAAAGCCTCTGGTAGAGGACCTGAGCTTGAAGGATAGACCGCCCGCAGGGGTCAGCGGGGGAATTTTTTCCATGTATGCTATACATAGGCTTTATTTATAGGCTATAAATAAAATAATGTATGAAAAGACATTCGTAATGCACAAGCTTGATGTCCTTGTTTTTGTTAAAGTTTTTTTTAATTATTATTTTTATTATTATTATTATTTAGTATGGTAGTTATCCAAGTTTTTTTTTCACTGAAAATGTACACAAGGCATAAAACCACACCACCTAAACTGGAAACCAAATAAAAACTCCTTATGAAATAAGATATGGACCCGAGTGCAAAAAAGCCAGGATACACTCAACAATAAAATCTTGCTACATTATTAAAATTCTATACTAGATTAATAGAAGTTGGCTGATCATTGTCATTGTTAGCTGCAACTTATGATCCATTAGCTCTAACTACTAAAGCCTCAAGTAAAAGAGGCTGAACAATGATGTAACTGACTTTCACAGTTCAGCTCCCTCAAGGTTGAAGCAAACCAATAAAACTCTTCTTCAGTCCACATACATATGATTCACTATAAGCATTTGATTGATGAGTGTACTTGTATTTGAAGTTCTGATATCTTTATGCTGCTATATATTTATTTTGTAGCATTTTTTTTAATTCATGGATGAGGAGTTAAATACCACATATGTAACTCTAGATGGATACATTGAGGTTAACAAGTACAGATATGTTTATTTTTGTATTATCTTTACATTATACATTATAATAATATGCAGTAATTCTACCATCGTGTATGTGATCTGGATTCATAAAAACCTTCATGAGCCTATGTACATTTTCATTGCAGCTTTGCTGCTGAACTGTCTCCTTTACAGCACAAATATTTATCCAAAACTTCTGATTGACTTTTTATCTGAAAAACAAGTCATAACATATTCAGCCTGTCTCTTTCAGTTTTTTATGTTTTACACTTTAGGCAGTTCAGAGTTCTTTCTCTTGGCAGCCATGGCTTATGACAGATATGTGGCTATTTGTAAACCTCTTGAATATCCAACTATCATGAACAAAACCACTGTGATCATTTTCCTGGTCGTATCTTGGCTTATACCTGCTGTTCATATTGCAATCCAAGCAATAGGGAGTGCTGAAGCAACATTGTGTAACTTTAATTTAAAGGGAATATTTTGTAATAATGCAGTTTACACTCTTCTGTGTGTAAAGTCAAGATTAATTATTGTATTTGGAGTGGTTGCTTTAATAGATCTTATAATACTTCCTGTGCTCTTCATAGTTTTCACTTATACGAACATTTTTATCATCTCATATCAAAGTTGCAAAGAAATTAGGAAGAAAGCTGCAGAGACCTGTTTACCCCATCTGTTAGTTTTAATCAGTATTTCCTGTTTAAGTATCTATGATGTAAGCATAGCTCGAGTGGAATCAGATTTTCCAAAAGCTGCACGATTACTAATGACATTACAAATAGTGCTCTATCATCCATTGTTTAATCCATTCATTTATGGGCTCAAAATGAAGGAAATTTCTAAACAGCTAAAAAGATTATTTTGTCATGCCAGAATCATCGTGTATTAACTATCAATGCTAATGTGCCTTAATTGTTATGTAATCAGTTTGCTGAAATTACTGAAAACACTTTTTAACATAATCAAAAAGTAAAACATAAAAATGTCATTTTTACTTATTTAATTATTCATAAATTATTGCTATGATTTACTGTTGGTGTATTAAGTCCATACTGATAATAGGACAAACATGTTCTAAGTTTATTTTGTAAATATACTATTCCTCAACAAGTTTTTCTTTAGTTTCTCATAATTACAAGTCTAACAGAGTAATCAATCTTTTTAAAGAAAACGTATATGAGCAAAATAAATGACATTAGTTTTAATTCATTTCACACAATTCTTTTTTAGTTTTTTCAAGTTGTATGTTGCTGTACTCAGTACAATGCTCATCTTAATGGGATGTAATACCTACAGTTTCAGAGCTGCAGAGTTTTGGTAAGTTACAACCTAGGAGCTTTTGGGAAGCAATTAATGAAAAATGTATGCAGTTGTCTTAACATAAACATATCCATTCTGCCATAGGTAAAATGATAGGTAATTAAGTCTATTTTCAGATTAATGTTTTTAAACTTTTGTATTTCTTCATTTTTACATTATTGCTAATTCTTATTTAGGATATGCTAGTGGAACATAGTGAAACATAGATTCTCCACTAAAGGAATAAGTGGTAACACTTTGTAACTGTTGCCCAAGGACCTGCATCTTCACCACTTGTCACATTTTATTGGTCAGTGTGAGTTATTAACCAAACAGATGTATGTAAATTTAAAAAAAAGAAATGTAAAAATTTACCAATCTCATAAACCCA